AAATTACATCTAGTATTTTGTATGACCTCCATGATCTGTGAAGACAGCAACAAGTCTTCAAGGCATGGAATTGGAGAAATATTGCAACATCTATCTTTTTCCATTCTTCAAGAAGGACCTCTTTTAGAGCCTGGATGCTGGATGGAGAGTGATGCTCAACTTGTCAATTCCCCATAGGTGTTCAACTGGGGTTCAGATCAGGAGACATACTTGGCCACTGAATCACTTTCACCCAGTTCTTCAGAAATGTAACAGTGGCCTTAGATGTGTGTATTGGGTCATTGTCATGTTGGAAAAGTGCAGAACGACCAAGGGCACGGAGTGTTGGTGGCGTTTTCTTTTTCAATACAGAGCGTATTTATGAATTCATGATTGTCGCAAACGCGCGCATCCGAGATGGACACGGTTCAACCATTTTGGTTTCAGACTCCATCTTGCTAAGGGTATCCATTTTCTCCCCTCATTCCTTCCCCCTCCCTTCCTGAGAGGCACAGTGACAGATGTGGCTGGTTATGGGTCGCTGACAGGCCAAGGCACCTAATTTGGTGCCTAGCAGTCTGTGGAAGTGTAGCTTTTCTCACCTAGGCCAGGATAACTCAGCTGTCCTAAGAGAATTGGAGACTCACTGTCCCAGAAGCTGTAACATTTCACACCTTGTAAGGAGATAAGGCAACTCTCCCAGGAATTGAAAGAATTGTAACCTCATAAAACCTAGCTCAGCTTAGGTGGCAGGATCAGATAACGTCTGGTAAAATCAGTTTTTCCCCTATGTTTTATATCTTGAAATATGGAAGACTTACATAAAAACCAGGCACCTCGTCAGATGGCCAATGCGCAGACGAATATTTTGATGGGTCACTCGTCCACCTCAGATCATCAGGGGAGCCAAAAAATAGAACTCGTACACCGTGTAACGTACAATTTCATAATTCATATCTACATGATCCTTAGACTTATCTGCATAATAAAATACCAGCGGAGAGATTGTCACTTGTGCAGCTGGGAAGTTACAGGCCAGAATATGAATTACGGAAGATGCTGGTTCTAATTTTGGGTTCCGCCTGCCAATCCCTCCCTAAACAGAGTATTGGTCAGTTACTCAGAGCCACCCCCTTGCTGGGGAACTTTAAAAAACAGGCTAGCAGGCCTAAAGAAGTTGAAGACATCTCCTATCTTTCCATCGTAACATATGGAGATCAAATCCCACTTCTGCTCTGCAACTTGGATCTGCTGACCCAGGACTTTGGGCAAGTACTTTAACTCTTTCCTTTCTCTATATCTCTTTGCTGTGCTATGGTTCTTTGTGTGTGTGTGTATATATATATCTTAGTTACATCTTTTTTTCGGTAAATATTTTTATTGCACCGTTTGACCTTTTAGTAATAAAATCTTCCTTTCTGAAAGTGTTGAACTGTTTCTATAGCTTTTAATTGCAATTTACGAATCCCTGCCTTTAAAGAGACGCTACTGTTTGTTTAACCCTCTGTATAAAACGGTCATAACACAGGTCTTTTATACAGACGATTATATTGACCATTATAGTATCATAGCTGAAGCTGAGTTTCCTCTTTCTCTGTACCAAAAAGGAGGTGGTGGCAGTGAATGGTTAATTGCGTGATTAACCTGACCCAGTAACAAGCGCATTCAGGCTGCAGGCACAGATTGTAGTCCATTAGCTGGAAAATCGCTGTGCAGAGTGCAGCTGGGTGTGGCATTGTTACGCACATCACATCGCGATTTCCGATTGGCCAGTCCTTCGGTCACGAGTTTGGTGAGAAGGTCTGGGGTCTGACACCGCGATCGTGACATATTGGTGGCAGCGGTCGTGGGATTGTCGCATGTTGGTGGCGGCAATCTTGCAATTCGTGACAATGATACCACTAATAAAATGCAGCCCCACAGAAGGACACTGCCACCACCATGTTTCACACAGTAGGCACAAAGCATTTTTCTTTGTACTCCTCAGCTTTGTGATGTCTTAGTTTTGAAGCCATGAGTTCCAAAAACATTTATCTTGATCTCATCACTCCAGAGTTGTTCATGGGCTTTAGGAGAGGTTTCCTTTGTGGATGACAACCAAGCATACCATTCCTCTGCAGTGTACGCCATATTGTGTCACGGGAAACAGTTGCCACAGTTTGGCTTTTGTAAACTTGCATGGCAATTTTCTTCAACCCTCCTCATCAGAAGACATTCCTGTCAAGGCGTTAACTTCCGTTGATGGCCTAGACATCTTTATGAGATGGTTGCAGTTCCAGCTTTGTTAAATTTTTGTATCACTTTTGCTACAGTATTCTGAGAAGTAAAGCTTTGATGATCGTGTAGCCTTCACCTTTCTTGTGTAAAGAAATTATTTTCTTTCCTAGGCCTTGTGACACTTCTCTTCCAGGTGGTGTGAATTGCTGACAGTATGAAATGGGAAGGGGTTTTCTTTGTTATATAACCTTTTATAATCATCTGTCTGCTGGACACGTGTTTAATGAATAATTAGACTCACCTG